AAATGTGATATACACTTACAATGGGATATTGTCCATCTTAAAAAGGACATAAATTATGATATATGCAACAATGTGGATGAATCTTAGTAATGCCAGGGTAAGTGGAAAAAAAGCCAGTCACAAAAGAATACAATATGACGCCACTTATATGAGGTATCTGGAATGGTCAAAATCATAGAGACAGAAATGGAATGATGGGTACCAGGGGATGAAGGGAAAAGGAAGTTGGAGTTATTGTTTTTTTGTTTTGTTTTGTTGTTTGAGACAGAGTTTCACTCTTGTTGCCCAGGCTGGAGTGCAGTGACACAGTTTCAGCTCACTGCAGCCTCTGCTCCCGGGTTCAAGTTATTCTCCTGCCTCAGTCTCCTGAGTAGCTGGGATTACAGGCACCTGCCACCACACCTGGCTAATTGTTCGTATTTTTAGTAGAGACAGGGTTTCATCATGTTGGCCAGGCTGGTCTCGATCTCCTGACCTCAGGTGATCCATCCGCCTCAGCCTCCCGAAGTGCTGGGATTACAGGCATAAGCCACCGCACCGTCCCCTGGAGTTGTTTAATGGGCATGGAAAAAATATTATGTCTATTATGCTACCAATAAAACGTTATTGAAAGAGCTAAGACAATGTGCTAACTGGAAGCATAAATTATTGAGTGCTAAGGGACATAATCCAACTGTGGTCTAAATCAAAAAGCACCACACACACACAAAAAAAACACTTTTAAGATATTCTACAGTGTTTAAAATGCAAATATAGTGATTATAACATTCTAGCAAACTAAATCCTTTTCAGATTCCTTTTTAAGCACAAAAAAAAAGTGACTATGGAAATACAGACCATGCAATTACTTTCTGTAAAATCCTGTGGATGTGTTAGGTTTAAACCAACACCTTAAAATATGTTCACTGTTCTAAAATACTATTTAAAAGCTACTAATATGAGTAACAATATGATACACTGTTTGAGACAAAAATTGTCTGAAATGGGAATAAACTACCTACCGCTTGTTGTAAAGTCTTTTTCATTTTTTAACTTACCAGTCGAATGCTTCTTAGAAGTAACATTATTCCAACTATGGCCATTCCAGTGCTGATGTTCTACAGAAAGAGATTTAAGGGTTAACCCTCACTAATTATTATTCACAATAATGAAAGCACTAATTAGAAAGTGGAAAAAAAGAGGAATGTGCTCTCTATATCTAATTGTACAAACAATGTATGTCCTTCAAATAAAGGCCCACTTCTTCAAAAACCGTCCACTCATTCATTAATCTTCCCTTCTTTTAACTTTTATAGTACTCAAATTCTTTCCCAAACTGGCACACAGAGAAATTTATATATATGTAAACATATACACACACATACACACACCCACCCATCCCGATACACACATACATATATGTATATAGTATTGGATTGTTCTCTACTGATCATATTATTTAACTATCAGTACCATGAATAGATTAGCTGGTCTAGTACTTCCTATACAGTACCCATAGTAATTAGTATAACCTTGCATCCATGGTAGGAATTTAAGTATTTGGTAGAAAATGTTATCACTAAAACCTTAAAATACAGTACCTTGGCAGATGTGGGTAAATGGCTGGGGAATACTCAGTGATGTTTTTAAAGTGTTTCATTTAAACTAGGGTAGCCCTAAAGAAGTTAATGAAAACTTAAGAATCCTGCAACTCTCTCAAAAACAGAGATAATCTAACACACTTTCCTTCAATCAATACAATTAGGTATATAAGAAATGAGATTGGCCAGGCGCGGTAGCTCAAGCCTGTAATCCCAGCACTTTGGGA